ATAAATACATACCTGTTGATATTTTAATTTGTATAGTTCATTTTTTTGATTTTTAGCCCAATCAAGAAAACCATTAACGGACGGATTAGAAGCTGAAACAAAGTATGGCCAAACCAACTCCATTGCCATTGCATGCCGGTAAATATTACACACTGAATCCCATGCTTTATGGTGATCAGCACATTTTTTAAAATAATCTAACTGACTTTTGGTTCTATATCCTTGGCATTGTGCAAAATCTCGTAAGTCAACATCTCTATATTCGTAATATAATAAAAATTATTAATTTTTATATTTAAAATTACAGTTAATTATAACAAACAATGTGAGCTGGTATAAAAATTCTGCAATATTTGTCGCTCACTAATGCATTATATGAAATTTGTTATATAGATTAGTGTTTAATAATTAAATTATTAAGTCAGATAGTAAATTTTTCATTATACTAATATAGTTTTTTTTTTTGAGCCTTTTTGGATATAGGATGTTTGTTATTTTGGTAATTGAATATAGTTTAAATATTATTACCAATTCAATTCTATGAAGGCTTTTAACATATTCATTTCTTCGTGAAGTGGACCAGGCAACAAAATGATACTCGAGTATTCATTTTTAAATTTTTGTGCATAATGGTAAGGAAGTCCGTTACAAACTACTACAATCCATTTTCGATTACCACTATTAATTCCACTAATATTTTGAATATGATCAAAAACCTTGCAAATATTTTCAACGGAATTTGGATTGATTGGTAAGGGATCGGGAACAAGAATATCAGGTATTTTAACACCGCCTTGAGGTTCTAAATTTTGGGGTATACTTATTAAACTTGTAAATTTATCTGATATACTTGTATTGGGTTGATAGGGTCTAAAATTAATGGCTTATTTAAATCTTTCTTGTCTTTCTTATCGGATATGGTTTGTTCTTTTTTTTGTTAAGTTTCAGCAAGTGTAGGAAGTTTCGCATGACATTGAGGACATTTACGCTTAGAATTTTCAATTTCAGTTTTATCACATTCACAACATTGTTTTTGATTGCTTATTCTAGCACTTTGATTAATTACTAAATCGTCAATAATATTCATATTTTCTTTTTTTTCTTCGCATAATTCAGTTAAAATAAATGAAAGATAATCATGAAGCTGACGATCAAGTAATACTTGCATTTCTGGAGTAAGGCCAAATAAACTTTCAATTTGCGACACATTAAGATTTTGATGTAGCCAAGAATTTTCAAATTTTGTATTTGATTAGTAGGATTAAAGTTAAATAAAACAAAACTAGTGACCGTATGAAAGATCACTTTATTATA